CCAAGTTTTATTCGGGTACAAGCTCTCCCTCCTCTGCGAGGACAGATCTGCACGTCCCCCCCCCCCAATAGCTAGCAATCCAAAACAGTCCAGTGGTACCTTTAAGACCAAGTTTTATCCAGGTACAAGCTCTCCCTCCTCTGCAAGGACAGATCTGCACGTCCCCCCCCCCCAATAGCTAGCAATCCAAAACAGTCCAGTGGAGCCTGAGCGGTGGGTGTTGCCTTCTGACACACTTCCAGTGATGTCAGGGGGTGTGGCCTATGCAAATAAGTTGTGCTGAGTTATGTTAATGAGCTCGTATGGGTTTGCTGCTCTTTGCTTGAGGACAATTTGGCTCTACAACCATAGGAAGGCGATTCCTGGACCAGAAGTTTATATCTGAGAACCACTTGGCATGTGATTGCACTTTTAGAGACCTCATATGTACTTTTTACTCTGTGCCTGGTGGTTTTATCTTGAAACAACTTGCTTCTGGTCCTTATTGAATGTATACTTCGTATTTATATGATTGTATTATATTTGTACAATAGCTAATATGTTCCTCACTATTGACCTCTGAGGAAGGCCTATGTAGGCTGAAATGCGTCAGGTCAGATTTATCAGCCCTTGTGTTTTATCGTTTCTTATTTATACATAACGTGTGATTGGGCACTTATATAATTTTAACATTGGTGATTAATAAATACATGTATTTTTTAATATATTTCTTTCATTAAGTTTTTAATATTGGCCCCCGTTCTTGCATTTGACTAACATTGTCAGGTTCTGGATTCTAAGTTTTAGGTTCAGGTTTTTTTCTCCCCCCCTTTTTGGTCCCTGTTTGGCCTAAGAAATCTTCGATGGCAGAGTGAGGATTTGACCCTGCAGTGGCTCAAGTGGCTAAAATGCTGAGCTGCAGACTGGAAGGTCGGTAGTTCAGTAGTTCGAGACCCGAGTGCCACATGACGGAGTGAGCTCCCGTCTCTGGCCCCAGCTCTTGACTGCCAACCTAGCAGTTCGAAAGCAAGAAATTGCAAGTAGATAAATAGGGACCACTTGGGTGGGAAGGTAACAGCGTTCCATGCACCTCGGCGTTTAGTCGTGCCGACCACATGACCACGGAAACGTCTTCGGACAGCGCTGGCTCTTCGGCTTTGAAACGGAGATGAGCACCGCAACCCTAG